AGTCCTTGCCCTGCATCCGGTTCCCACCATTCGCTCTCCCGGAGGCACCTGCGGCCCCGCCCCGCCCGGCCCGGCAGGTCCTGCAGGGAAAGTGTTTCCAAATGCCCCCCTTCCCGTGACCTTGAGCAGCCTTTTTACTTCCTTGTGCCTCCACCTTTCCCTTCTGTGAAATGGGTACGATAGTCAGACCTGCCTTCATTCATCCCGAGAGGATGGCAAACACTTCCTTCCGCGAGGACGGGGCTGGGTTCCCCCGGGGCCACCCGGAGCCGGGCGGGGGGATGGTCCCATTTCACAGATGGCAGTTGTCGCGGCCATGACGACTGTGTGAGAACCGTCATCTCGCTGCTGCTCCGCAGGTTGGACAGTCAAAAGCCGGACCAGCTTCAGCAAGATCTCCAGCGTCCACCTCTGTGGCCGCCGCTACTGCTTCGAGAGTGAGGGTGAGCTGGCGGCCCCAGGCCCGAGTTGCGGGAGCCCCCCTCCCCCAGATGTTTGTGTGGCCGCTGACACACCTGCTCTTACAGGTGACATCCAGCGTTTCCAGCGGGACTTCGCGTCCCGCCTGTGGCTCACCTACCGCCGGGACTTCCCGCCCTTGGCCGGGGGCTGCCTGACCTCAGACTGTGGCTGGGGCTGCATGTTGCGAAGTGGGCAGATGATGCTGGCACAGGGCCTGCTGCTGCATTTCCTGCCCAGAGGTGAGCGGCGGAGGGGGAAGGGCACACCAGGCGCATGAGCCAACCGCATAAGTCAGCAGGGTTAGAATTGTTTGTAAATAAAGTTTAAAGTCACGTCAGAATTACGTAGAAAGTAAGTTCTGGCCCGGGGGAGTTAGAGTTGTTTATGCTTCAGGAATGTGAGGATTGTCTAACGTGCAGTCTCAGGGCATTAGAATTGGGTAAGTGGGAACTGTGACCCCCGCACACTGGCACTGGTTGACTATTGATTCCATCCCACCAGACTGGACATGGGCGGAGGGTGCAGGCCTGAGCCCCCCTGAGCCGTCAGGGTTGGCCTCTCCCAACCGGCACCATGGGCTTGCCCACTGGAAGCCCCCACGCTGGGCCCAGGGCGCCCCTGAGCTGGAGCAGGAACACTGGCATCGGCAGATTGTGTCCTGGTTTGCCGACCACCCCCAGGCCCCCTTCGGCCTACACCAGCTGGTGGAGCTGGGACAGAGCTGGGGCAAGAAGGCAGGGGACTGGTATGGGCCATCTCTTGTGGCACATATACTCAGGTGAGGACCACGGCAGGGGACATGGGAGGCAGTGGGTACCCCAGGGAACTCAAGCCTTTCTCCTGGCCCCCAGGAAAGCTGTGGAGAGCTGCTCAGAGGTCACCCGCCTGGTGGTGTACGTGTCTCAGGATTGCACAGGTAAGGGGCTGCTAGCCAAGGTCATGGGGTTCTCCTCCGGAGCCAGTTACTACTGCGGCTGCCTCTGAGGACCCGCCTTTCTCAGAGGCTGAAACAGTTCTGGGTCAGAGGGACGCTTGGGAAGGATTCAAGGCCTGCTCGGGACAGATGCTCAGGATCCCCCTGCTGCCTCTAGATCAGGAGAGCAAGCTTCAGGGGCTTCTCCCCCAGGATAGAAGAAAGGACAGAAGGACTTAGTTCTCTGAGATCCAATTAACTCTTACTGTAAACAGCTCTAACATGTACAAAAGTCTGGTCTTCTCTGCCTTGTAGTGTTGTTATAAGAACTAAGTGAGCCCTAGCTGGTTTGTCTCAGTGGATAGAGCGTCAGCGAACAGACTGAAAGGTCCCAGGTTCGATTCTGGTCAAGGGCACAGGTCCGGGTGTGGGCTCAATCCCCAGTCAGGGGCGTGCATGAGGCAGCCGATCAATGATTCTCTTCATCATTGATGTTTCTATCTCTCTACCCCTCTCCCTTCCTCTCTGATATCAATAAAAATATTTTAAAAAATAAAAGGATTGGGCCGTAACCGGTTTGGCTCAGTGGATAGAGCGTCGGCCTGCGGACTGAAGGGTCCTGGGTTCGATTCCAGTCAAGGGCATGTACCTGGGTTGCGGGCACATCCCCGGTAGGAGATGTGCAGGAGGCAGCTGACCAATGTTTCTAACTCTCTATCCCTCTCCTTTCCTCTCTGTAAAAAATCAATAAAATATATTTTAAAAAAACAAAAATAAAAATAAAAGGATTGGTATCAGGGAAGCTACAAAAACTAAATTGTTATGCAAAATTGGGGTTAGGATTGCTACATACAAATTTTGGGGGACTCAAGCATTCAGATCATAGCAGCTGTGTCTCCAGAAAGAGTTGGATCCACTTCTCTGGTACCAGCAAGGGAGGAGGAGGAGAATGGACAGCTGCAGATGAGACTTGAGGAGGAGGGACACACAGGGACATTGTTTGAGGATTGCTCTGTGCTCCCATTTCCGTATTGGCAAACCCAGAAACCGAGTCAGTGAGGACCAGTGGGGCCTGGGGTTGGGGGTAGGCTCCAGGATTTGGGAAAGGCTCTACCTCCTCCTGGCAGTACATTCTTCATCCGACTCTTAGGGTCTTGGTTGCTCTCTGTGAAATGGGGGCCCTGGGGTTGTCTAGGGGAGCTTGGGGGTTCTGGAAATACTTCCTTCTCCACTGACAATGGGAGTGTCACCCCCCCGCCCCAAGGGGTTGCTTGGATGAGATTGGACCCTGGGGTTGGAGGATCACACTCTGAAGCTGAGGGTTAGCAAGATGACCTTCTGCCCTGTCCTTCCAGTGTACAAAGCAGATGTGGCCCGCCTGGTGGCTCGGCCGGACTGCACAGCCGAGTGGAAGTCTGTGGTCATCCTGGTGCCTGTGCGGCTGGGTGGGGAGACTCTCAATCCCGTGTATGTGCCCTGCGTGAAGGTAGGTTCAGCCAGATTCACCACGTCTCCCCCAGAAGCCCTCTGGGTTCTTTCAGTTGGGTTAGGTATGTGTGCTTCCTTCATCTGTTTATCCAATAGTCACAGGGCACCTATTATGTGCCAAGTGCTCTCTCAGCTGCTGAGGATTCCGACGTAAACAGGCAAAAATTTGTGCCTTTTGGGGGGTGAACATTCTAATGACAGGCAGTGAATCTGGGACCAAATAGACGGCCTGGGAGTTACAACTCGAACTGTAAAGGAACAAAAACTAGTGATGAAGGGCAGATGGGGGTGGCTGCACAACCGAGGAAAGCCCCTCTCTTGCCAGGGCACGTGAAGAGCCAGAGGAGTGTTCCAGGCAAAGGGAACAGCAAGGCTGGAAAGACCCTGGTGTGTTTACACTCAGAATAAAGGCCAGAGCTCTCCCCACAGCCCACAGGACCCTGGACCCTGTCCCTTCCTTCACCTCATCTGCTCCCACTCTCCTCACTCACTCCGCGGCACCCACATGGGCCTCCTTACTGTCCTTAGAACACACCTGCCTCAGGGCCTTTGCACTTGCTGTTTCCCAAGATGCTGGAACATCACCTCCAGTGAGGCCTTTCCTGACTCCTCTATAATTTCAAGGCTCCCTTACCTCCTTTCTTCTTTCCCCAGTGCAGTCACTTTCCAACACATAACGCACTCACCTTGTTCCTTGTCTAACATATGTCAGCTCCATAGATAGTACTTTAGTCATTCTGCTCCCCAGGGCCCAGCACACGCCTAGGTTCGCACACATTGGGTGTTTGCTAACTCTATCTTGACAGACTGACAGCACCTGCCTTGAGTTCTCACCTTTGCCCACTCTCCTCCCTGTAGGAGCTCCTGCGTTCAGAGCTGTGCCTGGGCATTATGGGGGGCAAGCCGCGGCACTCGCTGTATTTCATCGGCTACCAGGGTAGGCCTGCTCCGTCACATTCCATCCTGCCTCACCTCCCCCTTCCCCAGCCCCACTTACACCTCCTCCCCTGCAGATGACTCCCTGCTCTACCTGGACCCCCACTACTGCCAGCCCACTGTGGATGTCAGCCAGGCTGGCTTCCCCCTGGAGGTGAGCTGGTATCCCCAGAGTGGGGTTGGGGGCATGTGGAGGAAGTTGGGGCCCCCCTGAGCTCCCCTTCTTTGTCTGCCTCAGTCCTTCCATTGCACCTCACCCCGCAAGATGGCCTTCACCAAGATGGACCCCAGCTGTACTGTGGGGTTCTATGCTGGAAACAGGAAGGAGTTTGAGACACTGTGCTCAGAGCTGACCAGGGTGAGCAAGAGGAGTGGTGGAAGGTGTGGGAGTCAGGGCTGGAGGGGAGAACAGACAGAGGCCTCCAGGCCAGCAGACCTGGGGAGGTTGCTTCCAGGCTGTTGTGAAGGTTATCATCCTGTCCATGTTACAAAAGCCCAGCTTTGAATAGACCCAAAAGGGGCATAATATGAAAAGTTAGGGGCTTTGCTGCCTTGGAGGACAGCGGCATTCCGGAGCTCAAGGACAGGACCCTCCCTGTCTCTTGGCTCTACTGTCCGTCCCATCAAGGCTTTACCCTTATTGTGGCAAAGGTCAGCTGTCAGCCACTCTGGGCACCTACCTCCCAGTTCGTGGGAAGGGAACCCTACTCTCCCAGCACAGAGTGAAGTCCCAGGGCTGCCTTTCGTTGTCTGCATTGGGGCACATGCCGATCAGAGTCCATTGCTGTCCTGATTGACTGGCCTGGGTCACTGCCCTGAGGGATGGGATTGAGTTCAGGAAGCACCTTTTGAATAGACCTGTTAGAACTGTGCCTATGGGGTCAGTAACTGGCAACTGCTTTTGGTACTGAGTTGCTCTCTCCCTCCTCCCACCAGGTCCTCAGCTCCTCCGCGGCCACACAGCGGTACCCCATGTTCACCCTGGCCGAGGGCCATGCTCAGGACCACAGCCTAGACAACCTCGGCTCCCAGCCAACTCTGCAGCTCCCTCGCACTGGGCGGCTACTCAAGGCGAAACGCCCCAGCTCTGAGGACTTTGTCTTTTTATAAAGGGATGGGATGGGCGAGAAGATAGGACAAACACTATTTATTTTTTTATTTATGTCACACTGGATGTGGGAGCTTAACCTCTGGTGGTGATGGTACTTCCCACTTCTCACTCCCTTAAGTGCAGCTGAGACCAGCCCAGGAAACCTCCAGGCTGGAGCCATTAAGCCAGGGACGAGCCCAAAGGCCTGCCTCCTCCCTCTTGGGCCCTCCTCACAGGGCGAGGAGGGGGGGATGGCAGATGGACTCCCAGGCACCCACTCAGGGCCTGACTCAAGTACTGTAGTTTGCACTGGACTGCTCGTGCCCTCGCCTCAAAGCTTCTGTCCTGCTAAGGGCCGGTGGCAGTGTGGGAACTGGCTGCCTGGGGCCAATAAAGCCGTCGGATTTGACCTCAGCTATGGCCAGACAGAGCATTTGAGAGATGGGACCAGGGTGTGTATCAAGATGAGACATGTCCATGTCTCCTGGGGAGCCGGAGTAGACTCAGCTTCCACATCTCTAAGACGGGACTTCTCCCTTGCCCACAGGGAGACACGTGGGTCTGTACAGTCAACAAGAAGGGATGCATTCAGAGGCCTGCTTGAAGGGAGAGAATCTGAGGGCCCTTGCCTTCTCCATGAGCTCAGGGGCAGCTCTTGAGCCCCTGCTGCTTCCTCCTTTTCCGGGCCAGCAGGCGGAAGTGCAGCCTTTTTGGATTGAGGCCGAAGGCCTGCAGTCTCTGGCGGCTGAACTCCTGTCCTCCAAGCGTCACTGTGGGGCCCAGGAGTCGAGCCTTCTTGCCCCTCCTCCGCCTCTGGGGGGCTGGCTTCTCTGTGGGTGACACGGGGGCGGCCTCTTTCTGTGCTGGGGGGCTCTCCGGCTGGGGCCGCTTCCTGCAGGCCCCATCAGATGCCAGCAGCTGCCCCTGTGGGCCGGCTTTGTCTCCCTGTGGCTTCCCTGTGGCTTCCGTGGGTGTCTCTTTCCTGGGGAAAGAAAGTCAGGGCTCAGCCCAGGCAGCACAGTGAGACCCCTTCCCAGTGTACATCCCCCGTTTTACAGTTGAGAGGAGAGGTTCAGATAGATGGCAACGCAGCAATTCAGGTGCCTGCCTGGAATTCACACTGGGGTCTGACACCAAAACTGGGTTTTTCTACTGAATCCTGAAGCTGGACTGTGTTGCTGATAATTCTTGTATTTGAGCCTGGGCTTACACTAAGCTATTCACATAAATTAACTCATTTCATCTTTAAATCAACTCTGGGAATTCCTGTCACCCCTGTTCCCTGCTGTATAGACCAAGAAGTAACATGATAACAATAGCTAAAACCTATCAGCACTTACTATGTTTTAAGCACTTCACATAAATTCACTTAATCCTCAAAAAACCCCAACAAGAAATGAGCCATCTTTATCCCCATTTTATAAATGAGGAAATAGGCTGCCCAAGGTTATATAGCTGTAGCCCAGGCAGGATTTGAACCCAAGTCTCAGAGAGGGGGAGGGCCCAGTCCCAAAGTCATGCAACAAATGGCTGACAGAGCGAGACTCAAACCTTGGCCTGGCACCCCACCCTCTCCGGGCAAGCAACACTCACTCCTCTGAGCAGAGCGATTTGAAGATCTGCCTCTTTTTCCATGAGTTCTGGGCCTTCTGGCTGTACGCCTTCTTGTCCTGCAGCTCCTCCTGCTCCGACCTTTGGGTGCCCAGCGGACACGCGTGTCATTGGGTGCTCAGGGAGATGCCCATGCTTGCCTGTCTGCCACTCCTCCCAAACACCTGGCCCAGCCCCACCCGTCACCTATACATGCAGGTCTTCTTCAGGGAGCACCACCGGTTCAGCTCCTTGTCGTCAGCAGCAAGGATCTGCATGGGAAAGGAGAGGGGTCCTGCTGCGTGAGCCCTGGGAGGGCTCTGACTCTAAGCCTTAGTCACCTCATTAGTCAAAGCAGGGTAATGCTAGTACCACCCAGCAGGGATGTCATGATGGTGGGAGAGAAGTGATGTCTGTGGAGGCTACTGTTTTTTGCAGGACAACAGATAGGGAAACAGGTTCAGAAAGGGGTTCCTTGCCCCAAGTCATGCAGCCAGGAAGTGGCTGATTTCGGATTCCAGGGCCCTGTAGCCCTCACCTATGCACCATGGTCCCAGCAGCCTCAAGGCAGGGACCTCTATGCCAAGCACTAGATTTGCTAATTATAGGTAAGGCCCAGGTTCTCAACCTCCAGGCTCCTGCCTCCAGGCTTCAGATTCCTCATTTTTGAGGTAGGCATCCCCTCAGAACCTATTAGAAGGTTGTTGAGAAGAATGAGTAAATGCAGATGGTATAAGCTCAATCGACATCAGTTGTTTTTTTTAATATATTTTTATTGATTTCAGAGAGGGTGAGGGGAGATCGAAACATCAATGATGAGAGATAATTATTGATTGGCTGCCTCCTGCATGCCCCCTACTGAGGATCCAGCCTGAAACCAGGGCCTGTGCCCTGACCGGGAATTGAACCGTGACCTCCTGGTTCATAGGTCCATGTTCATTCACTGAGCCACACCAGCTGGGTGACATCAGCTATTTTTACTGACCATGAATAGTCAAGCACTGACAGCCATCACGGATAGCTAAGGGACAAGTGCCATCTAAAGAGACACATGGGTGCGGCCAGTGTGGCTCAGCAGTTGAGTGTCGACCTATAAACCAGGAGGTCACAGTTCAATTCCAGTCAGGGCACATGCCTGAGTTGCAGGCTCAATCCCCAGTAGGGGGCATGCAGCCGATCAATGATTCTCTCATAAGTAATGTTTCTGTCTCCCTCTCCCTTCCTCTCCGAAATATATATTTTAATATATATATGTATATATATATACACACATATACATATACATATACATATATACATATATATATAAACTAAAGAGCCACACATCGTTTCAGCTTCAGGGACATGAGGTAGGGGCTGTCAGTAGGCCTGTTTTATAGATGGGAAACAGGTACAGAGCCCAAGTCCAAGGTCACACAGCTGATGAGTGGCTAAGGCAGGATTTGAATCCAGGGCATCTGGTTCCAGAGCCCATCTAGTCTTAAAGGCCACCCTGCTGCACATAGAATAGTAACATAATTAAAGGTACAGTTGACCCCCGAACAACACGGGTTTGAACTGCATGGGTCCATTTATATGCAGGTTTTTGTCAAATATTTAAAATTTTTTTACATCCCCCCCATTTACTTTATTGTAAGAATGCAGTACATAATGTGTATAATATACAAATATAAGATAATCAACCGCTTATGGAATCAGTAAGGATCCCAGTCAACAATAGGCTATTAATATAGTCAGCCTGAATCTGCAAAGGTTGAATCCGTAGATGTGAAACCCACAGCTATGAAGGGCCAACTATAGTTGAGTTTTTGGGGAATTAAAAATTGTATGCATATTTTTGACTGCACAGGGGCCAGCAGTTGTTTAAGGGTCAACTGTAATATTTATAAGGGGCTGTTTGAAGCCCCTCCCCATCTCATGGAAACCCTCTGAGGTAGGAAATTTCAATCCTGTCATTAGCACTATTATTCCTGTATTTTTTTAATTTATGGAATTTAGAGAGAGAGAAACATCTACTTGTTCCATTTATTCGTGCAGTCACTGGTTGATTCTTGTATGTGCCCTGACCAGGGATCGAACCCACAACCCTGGTGTATCGACAATGCTCTAACCAACTGAGCCACCTGGCCAGGGTAGTCCTATCATTTTTGACATGAGGAAACAGGTACTGTGGCAGCACCCACTGGCTCTGAGCTCCCTCCTGCCTCCTGGGTGCCTCCCAGTGTCCCACACCTGCCTGGGGCCCTACCTCTTCTGTGCTGAGCCCGAAGTCACAGGGCACGACAGTGCGGTACTTGAAGCGACAGGGTAGGTCGTCGATGATGTCCTCATAGTCCAACCGGTAATACTCGTCCAGGTACTCCTCAAAGGTCTTGTCCCCTGTGTGGTAGAGAACTGGGCTGCTGTGCGCTGGCCCTGCGGAGCCCCTGCTCGCCCACAGAATCCCACCAGAGCCTCACTGGGGTTGAACACAGGTTTCTCCTGCCCCACAGCTGCAGCAAAGGGTGACTTGCGCTTCTTCTTGCCCGTTAAGGGGGCCTCTCGCTGCTTCTTCTGCGGCTGGCTGGGGTCGTAGTCAGCATCCATCTGCCAAGACATGCAGGTCAGGCCAGCCCTCGCAGCCCTTGGGACTTTCCAAGGCAGCCCACCCCCGTCCCCATGGCACCTACATTGAAGTCTGGGTCCTCGCAGTGCAGCTCCTGCTGGCTCCAATCTCTACCCTGCTCCAGCCCAGTCCACGTGTCCCAGTTCCAGTGATCTGGCTCCAGAGGACGGACAGACAGGGATGAGCCCGGGGGGCTCAGGATTGGAACCTCAGGCTTCAGGCCCAGCACTCCACCCCCACCCAGTGACCTCACCTTCGAACCCTTCCTCTTCCTCAAATTGTGGCTTCTCCTCCTCCATTGTGCCGTAGTACTCGTCCCCGAAGCATTTCTGCAGGGCCAGGGACCAGGAGGATCAGCAGGGCCCAACCCTTCCAGACAGCTCTATCCCTGCACCTCACATGGCTCCCTAGCACCCTTTAGGACCCAGCTCCTGAAGTGGGCCTGACAAAGCTGGTCAAAGGACTCCTCTCAGACCCCACCTGCCCCTGCAGGTCCCCATCACCACTCAGGCCCTGCAGGTTGTAACCACACAGTTAAACGCCTGCCATTAGATTGAGGGCTCTGAGAGGGCAGGACCTCTACGCTGCCTAATGTTTGGCATACAGTGACTGTCAGACTGGCGCTCACCACTCCATCAGCTCCAAGAAGGCCGACACTGGGCTCCACGAGGGCTGAAACCCCAGTGCCCAATGCAGGGCCTGGCAAAGGCAGATATTGTTAAACATGTCATTTACCGAGCATCTACTATATCCCCAATATTGGCTACACCTCACATTTGCACAAGCACCAGGAGACAGACAGTATCCCCATTTTATGGAGAAACTGAAGCTTAAACTCCAACTATATGCCCCCCGCCCCCCCACTTCCTGCCCCCATTCTGGTTTTCACCTGGCCTACCTACATATCCTCAGTCCCCTTCCCTCACTTTCCAGCCTTGGTCAGAGGCTTCTCTGAGGCTCCTGTGGTCCCCACTGCTCCTCACATGCCTTCACCACCTGTTTCTATGGCCTGATGCTATATTCCCACAAATACAACAATAAACATTAATGGCACAATAAATGAGTTTAAAAGAAACACAGCAACCCACTGTTCCTTGAGCACTTACCAACTAAACTTTTATGTGTATTCCTCTCAAGCTATCCTTACAACAGCTCTGAGGTAGATGCTATGGTTAGACCCACTCTACAGACAAGGACAAAGGCTCAGCGAGCTCAACCCGCTTCTCTTAGCCCCACAACCAGGAAACAACTGATTCCAGAGCCATGCTCCTGAGCACTGGCTGCACGGCCAGGCCTGGGCGTGGGGGCCATACCTGCATGAGCTGGTCATGCCGGGTGGGGTCGAAGTCGTCCTCGAGGTCCCGCTCCTCAAAGCCCACCGTCTCGTTGCCCGTGACCTGCCGCAGCTTCTCCAACTTGGCCAGAATCTCCTTCCTCTTCAGGTTCTTCAGCTGCTTGAGTTCTTCCTGCTTTTTCGCTTTCTCCTGTGGATGGCAGGCAAGAGGGAGAGGAAGGGTATGGGCTCTCCCCACAGCTAAGGGCTCCCCTGAACCCACTGCCCCCCGACACTCACCCTCCTCTTCCGCTCCCTAATCTCCTCCCTCTTCTCCTTCCTTCGCTCGTCCTTGCGGCGCACAGAGGACGCAATGCTCCGAGGGTAGGTCTTGACCTGTGGGACAGGGATGATTCTGGGCTCTCCGGGCCTGAGCCCAACAAGCCAGCGCCTCCCAAGCCCTAGCTCTACTCACCACGGCCGAGTCGGGCTCCTCAAACCGGAAATTGTACTTGTGCTCGAAGTCCTCCTGCTTCTTCAGAAACAGCTCCCCCTCGTCAGAGGAGTCGTCTATGGAGAGCTGGACCGGGGGGCCTGGGACCCTGAGGGACAGAATAGAGGGAGGCTGGGTCAGCCGAGCTCCTGTGAACCAGCCCTGTTAACACATTCTGTCGTCCAAGAACCCTACAGTAGGGTGCCACTGTTGCCCCAACTGTAAGGACGGGCAAACCAAGCCACAGAAGTCGAGCAGGGTCAGGATTTGAACACCTGGCTCCAGAGCCCCCACTCCATGGCTCTTCCTCGAATGACTAACTGCTACGATTTGTGTGCAAAAGTAAACGCCAGTGCCCTTTGCTTTTCAGCCAGCATTGGCTCCAGGCCCCTGGTAAGAACATGGCTGCTCACCCTTCCTCTTCCTCCTCCTCCTCCTCCTCATCTCCCTCTTCCTCATAACATTTGTTGAGGATATAATCCCGCAGGAACTGCTCCCCTTCGTCCAGCTCTGGGTTATTCCAATATTCCTTGAGGTGAGTCTAGGAGTGAAGGAGTGACAGGACCCAGGTTAGACACTCAGGGGCAGGGAAGGCGGGCAAATGGATTCAAGTAACTGAAACTTCACAGCCAGCCTATGAAATAGGTGGGGGGCATTATTCCCATTTCATAGATGTAGAAACTGAGGCCCAGAGAGGGGCACACCCATTTTCAGAGTATTGCTCTTAGCCACCCCTTCGAGGGTTACTTTCTAGAAAAAGGTTGGATGAAGGTGGGACAAGCAGTGTAGTCCTTCAGTGACTGCATGGGAACTCACCAGTTCTCTCAGGGCCTCAGGGTTCTGAATCTCCCTCTGCCCCTTCAGCCATGCAATGTAGTCAGCATCTTCCTGGGCCTGGGGGAAGACTGGCACTGAGGGTCTGCTGGAGCCCCAGCGCCCCTCCCTGCACCAGCCCCCGTCCAGCGAGGGCTCCCGCACCCACCTTCTCCTCCTTGGTTTTAGCGCGTTTCTGCAGCAGCCCCGAGCCACCTTCCCCGGCGCTATCCTCATCTTCACTGTCCTCCACAAATGCTCGGAAGCTGCCCACCGAGGGAACAAGTCTCAGAACAGCCAGGCTAGCCCCGAACCCTGGTCACCAAGCCGGAGTTCCTAACAAGCTCAGAGTGGTGCTGAGACACAGCATTATCAACCCCATTTCACTTCGGGAAACTGAGGCATGGAGAGAGCAAGTATGTGCCTGAGGGCACACAGCCATTAGTGACAGAGCTGGATTGGAGCCCAGACCTACCCACACCCAGAGCCTCAGCGCCTATCCAGTTGGCCACTCGCTGGCCCAGCTCACCTTTCCTTGAGCTGTTCCTGTTCTTCCACGTAACTTCTCGACGAGACCTGCTAAAGAGAGGGGGCGGTGGGCCTCAGGCCCAGCCCCGGACCCCTCAGCCCCAACCCGGTCTCCACCCCACCCACCTGGAGTCTCTGATTGGAGGTCTCCCCGTCTGAATTCTCCTCGTCAACATATTTGCTGTGCAAGGAAGGATTGGGGCTTCAAAATAGACTCCCCACGGCCTGCCGGTCCCAGTGGGCGGGGGCAGTTATGAGAAGCAGGTGGGGGAGCCGACAGGGGTGCAGGCCGTCACAGAGGAGCATGCTCTCTGGCATTCCTTCAATGCTGGTGCGTCACTGGCTTCTCCCCACCCCTGCCCCTAAGACCCCCATGCATCCACCTGCTCTGGGAAGGCGGGCAGAGGATGGTAGGTGTCCAGCCTGTCCTCACCCTTCTTTCTCCAAGATGACCTTCCTCTCATAGTCCTTCAGGTACATGGGCCGCATCTTCTTTTGCTTCTCCGCTGCCAGCTCCTCCTCGCTTTCCGAGGACGTTGCTGCGGAGTCATCGGAAGACACCTGCCATTTTCCGCAACCACAACTCCCTTCCTTCCCCCGACAGAGAATGCCACGGGGCTGGGCCAGGGCCAGGGTCAGATGAAGGCCTCAAATCCCCAACCACCAGCCCCAGCTGTACAACAGTTATCATACTGGCTACCGCCTGGCTGTGATCACCCAGTAACTCCCGCTCTGAATAGCACAAAGCACACGGGTGATGTTAACATCAACGGGTTAGAATCTAAGACACTCTGCTAAGCACTTTTGACATAAAATGATTCAATAAATAGTCACAACAGACGACAAGGCCACGAGGAACCCTGGAGAAGAGCAGCCCAGACCTGTCCTCTGGTAGAAGGTGGCATCTTCCTGATAAATCCGGGGATCCTTCTTCTTCAACAAGGAGAGTGTCCTGTAAAAGTCTCGCTCCTGCTGGGGGTCAAATTCCTAGGGCAGGACAAGGATTGGGGGCAGACTTCAGAAGGAAGGTGGTGAGAGCCATGGAGGGCAGGAAGCACGGGGGCAGGTGGGCTGAGAGGGTGCGGGAATTGGGGTGGAGGGATGAGCATCCATTAGGTGGAATGGGCATCTGTCACATGGAAGGAAGGGGATCCCGCTGGGGAAAGGCAGGTGTGGTGTGTGGGGTGTCAAACAGGGGGAGAGGGAGGGAGGGCCACACATCAGGACAGGGTCTGAGACAGAGGAGGGCTCCAGGCAAAGGGACCGTGCTTCCTGGGGGAATGGATCGGCGTGGGGCAGGAAGCAGGGAGGACACGGGGCCCAGCAGGAGGGACCGGCTGCACAGTGAGGTGAGATGTGGCTGATGTGGGAGAAGCTGGTGTCCCATGTGCAGAGATCTCCACTTCCAGGGCAGTGTGGTCACACCAAGCACCTCGGGACGGGCAGGTGGGCCCGTAGCAGGAGGGAGGGGGGGACGCGGGGAGAGTGGGGGATTCGGCCCCGCCCCGAGGATGGGAGGGCGCTGTCTGTCCCTCGTGGAGTCGGGGGTGGGGGGAGGTTGTACGGCGCTATGGGGTTTGGGGTCAGGATGTGGTGGGGGCTTGAATGCCGCCCGCACGCCCGGGCCGGGGTGCGGAAGCTCACCACGCGCTCGTCGCTCGAGTCCGACTCGGAGCTGGAGTCTTCGCCGTCGCGGTCCCGGTAGCGATCCTTCACTGCGGGACAGACAGCAGCCCCTGATCAGCCCGGGTTTTTACAATAGCTAATCAGCTAATAATCTAATCAGTGCATTTTTCAGCTTACACATTCTAGTTTATCTATTTCAAAATACAATTTAGATTTTTTAAGATCTTCCATGCCTCTACTTAATTATTTCCCCACCCACGGGCACGCCTCTGCGGGGAAGGCTGCAGCCACCGCCCACCCCACCCCGGGGGCTGCCCGCACCCAGCTGACATCTGGGGGCTCTTTCTCCACTCGCGGTTTCCTGCCTCGCTTCCGCTCCGACAGCGCAAACCGCCGCCCCACCCAGCTCTCGCACCCCTGGCGCCCTGGGAATGACCACTCTCTCCACTCCCCGAAGCATCCGTGACCCGCGACCCCCGTGCCCACCCCCACGAACATCCTGGACGCGTGACTATCCATCGCAGATTAAAGAATCAGAAGCCACCACCACTACGATCAAGCACAAGAATTAATTTAATGGGTAAAAACATTAAGTTATCACACAACTTTTGTCCATAAAGCTTAATAAATAGAATCTTTTTTTAAAGCTGTACAAGAGACAGGAAAACAAGTTTCCAACAAGATATGAATGAACTCATCCCACCCTCTTATTCATTTGGAACTCCCCCCGCCCCCGTGCTCAAAAGCAGAGTGCACACTTGAGATCGCTCTCCGTACAGTCAGCCAAGTCGCCAGGTTCCAGGAGCCCTGGAAGCCATGACCTCACTCTGGGGCTGAGGCTTTAAACGCTCTGCCCTTGGGACTCTGTCGCCCCAGCAGTCTGGGGAGTGGAGGAAACTGAACCGTTTAGGTGGCTGTTGCCTACAGGAGCCCTTCTCACCAAACACACAAAAGGGAAAAACAAATGAGAAATGTCCCTTGAGCACACACACTCCAGAAATCAATACCAACAAGCCACAAACTGGTGCTCCCCCACCCTTGGCAGCGGGACTGGAGGAGCAAAAAGAGAAAGTGTTTCTTTCCTCCTTCCGGAGAGAGAACCCAGCTGGGTCCTGTGGCTGCAGTGGGTGGTCCTGGGTCACAGTGGTGCCACCATGTGCCCCTGCAGGATGTCCATGAGCTCCTGAGCCCCTCTCCCTTGCGCCAGCTCCAGAGGTGTGAGCCCCCTGGTGTCCCTGTGATGGAGATCAGACTCGGCAGCCAGGAAGCTGACCACGGCCGTGTGGCCCTCCTGCACGGCCAGGTGGATGGGGAGCGACCCCGTGTTGTCAGGGGCGTTCACATCAGCACCGTGCTCCACCAACACCTTCAGCGTGTCGAGGAATCCGGTGCGGGCTGCATCGTGGGCCGGAGTGGTGCCGGAGGTGTCCTGGACATTGGGGCTGGCGCCTTGTTTCAGGAGCTCCAGGGCGATGGTGGGGCTGCCAAACATCATGACCTGTGCAGGGGCAGAGTTCGGGGGTTCTCAAAAGAGGGGTTCCAGAAAAAGGCATCACTTGGAGAGAGGGGTCATTCAGAAATAGGGAACACCAGAGAGAGGTCCTCTGGAGAATGGAAAAAGCCCGGGGAACGCAAACCCCCGGGCAGCTGTTTGAGACCTCAGAGGACAAGGTCTCCTAGGAATGGGGACCCCCAAGAAACTAAGGAAAAACACCCACCCCAGGAACAGCTCCCATGCAAACTTTCAAAGAACATAAGACCCTCCACAAGGAACCAGAGGACCACCACCCCCTCAGACGTGGGAAATCACCAGGAAATATACACCTCCCTCCAGGAAATGGGTCTCATAAAATGAGAACTGCCCTCCCCCCCAAACTTGACAGCCCCCTCAAGCGAAAGGAGATGCCCAGGGAATCTGAAACCCATTCTCCAATGAACAGCCCCTCCCATATAACCGGAACGCTCCCCTAGAACACCTGAATAATTCCAGAAATGAGCTTCCCCTCTAAAATGACTCCAGGGAATGGGGACTACTATGCACCCTGTACCTGTTCCCCCCGTGGGACTCCCCGTGATATACCGAGAATCTAAGTGGGGGGCGGGGAGAAAAGAACGGAGATCACCCTCCACACAAGGAACCGGATCTCTCTGGGGACCCCACAGGCAATAAGAACGCGGTGGAGACCTGAATCCCTAATTCCAATGGTCGGGTCTCCCCATCGGAACCCAAAGAAACAAGGCCCGGCCCCGTGAAACCGGTATCCAGAGAAGCTGAATCCTCGCTCCCGGAAAAAGAGCCTCCCAGGAAAACTGCACCCCCAGCACCCGAAGACCGAGGAATCTCCGGAGATGGAAAGCCTTCCCCTCCCCCATCCACCAGCACCTACGAAAGGGGGCATCAGGGCGTGACGTCAGCCCCCAAATGGGGGCCCGGGTCCCGGTCGGCCCCCGCCGGGCCAGGAGACTCAGGAGCGGGGTCTGGGCCCCCCTTCCCTCCCGGCTCCGCCGC